TACCAGTAACTCTTTAATGTTCTCGTACAAACTGTAACTTGATCAGTTAGAAACTTTAAAATTCTTATCAGCCTCAGTTCGGTACCTGCAGGGGCGGAGTCTTCGTTTGGTGCAGTGCCGTTGGTTGTGGGAGTCGGCTGCAGGTGGGTGGGGGCCACACCTGAGACGTCAGCTGGGACCATATCTGGGGCCACACCTGGTGCCCCCCCAGGGCTGCTGCCATTGTTAACTTTAGGAGACAGATGGAGGACAGAGGTCAGGCTAGATCTTTAACAGATGGAATTCAAACAGTCCTGTTCAAGAACACACGCACGCGCGCGCACACATGCACGCATTTTTTGCAGAGTTTCACTGATTCTGCAGAACTCTAATCCAGGACCTGGTACCCAGTGCAGGTGGTGGAGACAGAAGGACTCGAGCTACAACAACATGACTGCTGGACAACGTGTCCACCTCCATGCGTGAAGCTGTTGAACTGGATCTCCTGCAGTGACAGGTTCCTGCTCCTTACAACCATCACTGCTCCCAACATGCTCTGCTCAGTCACACTCTACTTTACTACTGCACCGTCAACAGTTGTTCTTCTCGTTGTTCAACTCTTTTCAACTGATTCTGATCATTAAAGGTGAATATATTGAGGAAGTTGTTGTTGGTCAGTAAACCGACCAGCTGGTGCCACACTTTAACGAGAGCTGAATAAATAAAATAAATGCAGTGGAGAGTGTCGCCCTTCTTATTGCTACAACATACTGAACACTATGTTCATCTTGACGTGCCCGTTTTTAAAAACTGCACAGGATTTTGATTATAGTCTTGTTATTCTTATTATTGTTTATCTTATTTCTTTATATTTTCTTTTTTAACATTTTAAGAACTTTTTGTGTGAACCTTTACATCTGTTGCTGCTGTTACACTTGAATTTTCCCCTGTGGGACAAGAACGGCCGTTTCTCTTCTCATCAAACAGGACCGGACTCTGGGACCCGACACGACAGGTGGACTCACGGGTGGAACGTCAGAACTGAAGTCCAGCAGAACTTCCTAAAGTCAGATTTCCCAGCATGCAGCTGAGCCCGACAGCCTGGCACTGAAGATCTCACCATCTGACAATAAATAATGAGTTGTCTCGGATCAGAACCTCAACACTGACGGACCAAGTCAGAACTTAGACTGACTCAACGTTCATCGGGACAAACAAGAGGCAGCAGGTTCAGGAAAAAGTGCAAAGAATGAAGTAAAAATGATATAAAACGCATAAGTTGTGTTCACATTGCTGACAGCAAGTCGGACCCTTCAGGGTGGGAGTTGGTCTCCTCCAGACCCGTTATTACAGATTCTATTCAGAACTTTCATGGACAGAACTTCTCGGTGCAGCCAGGGGGTGGAGGGAGTCCAGTTCAGTGGCCTCAGGATTCATCTCTACTCTTTGCAGATGATGTGGTCCTGTCGGCGTCATCGTGATCTTCAGCTCTCACTGGAGCGGTTCACAGCCGAGTGTGAAGCAGCTGAGATGAACCAGCACCTCCACATCTGAGGTCATGGTCCTCAGTCAGGAACAGCTGGAATGTTCTTCAGGTGGAGGGTGAGGTTCTGCCTCAAGTGGAGGAGTTCAAGTATCTCTGGGTGTTGATCACAAGTGAGGGAAGAATGGAGCAGGAGATTGACGACAGATTGGTGCAGCCTCTGCAGTATTGTGGACGCTGTTCTGGTCCATTGTGGTGAAGAGGGAGCTGAGCTGTAAGAACTTCTCTGTTTATGCTGGTGAAGATTCTCAGTCATCCAGGACATGATGAATTCAAAAAACTTCAAATTCCTCGGATGAGGAGCGAAACGTCTTCTGTTACAAATAAAGTCCAGTTGTTTTTGTATTGAACGCTTTTTGAACCTCTCTGTTTACTGGTCGGTCTACGTTCCTCCCTCTCCTCTGGTCATGAACTCTGGTAGAGACTGAAAGAATGAGATCCTGGATCCAGGAGGTTGAAATGAGTTTCCTCTGCAGGAGCTGGACTCTCTTAGAGACAGGGTGAGAAGTTCAGGTATCAGGAGAGACTTGAAGTAGAACCACTGCTCCTCCACATCCAGAGGAGCCAGTTGAGGTGGTTCAGACATCTGGTAAGGATGCTCCCTGGGCACCTCCCTAGGGAGGTGCTTCGGGCATTTCTGACTGGGAGGAGACCCCAGGAAAGATCCAGGACACGCTGGAGAGACTACGTCTGTCAGTTGACCTGGGAACACCTTTGAGTCCTCCCAGAAGAGCTGGAAGTGGCTGTGGAGAGAGAGGTCAGGACCTCCCTGCTCAAGATGCTGCCCCGAGACCTGAGTCCAGAACCAGAAGATGATGGATGGATGAACTGTGCATGAGTTGTGCATGAGTCGTTCATGAGTCGTTCATGAGTCGTTCATGAGTCGTGCATGAGTCGTGCATGAGTCGTGCATGAGTCGTGCAT